TAAATCCTGATTTAATCAAAAATAAATAATATTCATAGTAATACAAAACGACCGACATCCGCGCCGGTTTCACAACCGTGATCAAAGAGAGGAACTCACGCACACCTTAAACTTGSGCGCCCACGCACTCTCTATTGTAGTCAACCTCCCAGTCAACATAATCACAGACACAGCTGCGCCTAGAGCGGAATACTTAAACTTTAGACCAACTACTTTCTGCCACTTGCAAAAACCAGGGCGGATACCCTTGTAARGGTATTCGCGCCGATAGCTTACCGGACCATATTAAGCGACGTCCATGTCGCTTCGCCAAATCAAAAAGCTATAAATCMATCCACACTCCAAATGCTGACGAGAAAGGAGCCAATCCGATTAGCCGACAAACACAGGRTAGAGGCCTCCATCAAAACATGCCTCCACAACTATATGCTGTCAGGTTTCTAACYTGGGYCTCTCACCGCCCAGAAATTAGGACGCTGACCGCATAAGTTCCAAAGACCTTCCCAATCGTCCTCTCCCCGGTCCTAGACAACCTTCGGCTTCTCGTTGGGTGTCCCTAGTCCTGGCAAAAWCTAGGAACGCGGGCCTTAATCGAGACYTTTTGAAGACACTCTCGACTCCCTTCTCAAAATCTCTCGCAATCAAATACCCATAAGCATATACGTATACTTAATATCCGCTCAACTCGTTCTGCAGTCTAGTACAGAAAGGCTAGGTCTCCATTTTGGCCCACCATAGCCTGGCTGATCGGGCCAGGACTACGGTCCACCTCATTGTTATTTAACGGTAGTACCCCTCGTTGGTTACGCAACGATATGTTTTCTCCTGATAAATATTCAATCAGGATTTCCCCAAAAATTTTCAATCATCACTATCCCACGGAGTAATTTCATTTAGGTGGGCAACTCCCCTTAAACTCTTACCCCGCGGTCCCGCAGCCAGGTTGCACCGGCTAGCAGCCATCCAATGGGGTTACGCCCTACTAGAGGTACTAACTTCTTTTCCGTTAGCTTGGCCTTTCTTCAATGTGTCCCAGAACTAGCACAGGTGGTTAGACGGGGCGTCACAAAACAAAATCACAGGCCCACTGCGCGATACGCAGGGGTCCAAAGGCATTTACCAGCCGTTCCACAATAGGCATGGCATCCTTCGCACGCTCACAAACAAAATCACCGCTAGGTCCACCAGGCTGTGATCCCTGACCTGATCAGAGCCAGCAGCCACGCGTCCTGAGACGTCTCTCGCCCTGCACTCATTGCGACTTTCTCAAATATTCCAAGCAAAAGTGGCTCTCTTCCTCAGACTTTATCACTCATCACACTACTTACCATGCCATAAATCAGTTTGCTCACCTTTGAAGGTGAGTCTTTCAACAACAAAAACATCCCCTTTTCYAAAAATYCAAGGGGCTCTTATCATAAAACAAAACACTCCCTTTTYCAAAAATCACGAGRGGTCTCGCCACAGAACAAAACATCCCCTCTTCCAAAAATCACGAGGGGTCTCGCCACAGAACAAAACACCCCCTCTTCCAAAAATCATGAGGGGTCTCACCATAAAACCAAACTTCCCCTCTTCAAAAAATTYGAGGGGGTCTCATCATAACAYASAAYATCACAGAATATGCYATTTTCCAAAATYCAAGGGGGTTTCAACATAGAACAAAACACCACTGAGMGACCATCTTATGGGTCCTCGCCACAACTTAAGCAATCAACAACCGGCATGGTGAAGCATTCGAGTCTCAAKGACTCRTAAATCTCCTAAAAATCCTCACACCTTTTCACAAACAGGTTGCRCTTCCTCCCCTTATACTCTGCTCTATCAGTTGYCCGTGGGCAGGGCGCACGAGTATACCGAGGAGTAGACAGCTTTACATGTCACATATTCATACATYCCTCACACAAGCCAACATTCATCCGGATAAAGCCACACGCGTGAGAGTGATAGTGATCGTYACAATAAACCAAGCCTCATAGGGTGTCAACTTAATATGTACACCATGACAAAATRTCCCTCTCAACAACAGTATAGGTACCCAACCCTCACGTCCTACTCAGCTGAGTAACCCATGTCTCGAACCCACGAATACCTCGGAGTATACCCAAACATACACAAAAGCTCAAATCACACAAATCTATCCCAACTGTACACACCAACATATCACACATCTAGACACAACCACCTAAATCACGCCAAAAGAGGAAACGAATGATTCGTCCAGTACAACGATCTGCATATGTACAGACGGACAAGCTAGTCGTGGCTATACCTAACTATGCACATATCTAGCTCAGTCCCCATATACAAGAAACTTTGACCCTACTTACGTATAGGYGAACCAGTCCCTACTTACTCATCACCTCCTGGCCTCACCTATATGGCTGAGCTATCTACAGCCTAAGTCACTTTACCAGACCATTATTGCGAAACCCCTCCCCGGATCTACCCCACACACATACCCATATCGAAGCATATGCCTGTCCCGACCCAGATAATATGTAACTAGCCTTTACCAATTAGTACGGGGTTAGGGCCACGCAACAGCTAGCCTGCTACTCCGATTTTCCAGATCGATACATGTACAACTAGACCTTTACCAACCACGAATCCAAGGATYTAAAGCAAACGATTAACATAAGTTTCTCGACTCAGAGGTTAGGATGAATCCCCATTTCATCCTGCTATACTTCCTCTGCCCTAGTCGTCTCATTTACCTTTTCCGCACCCTTGATCACTTGGCTCATTCTAATGGTCATCCCATTCAGCATCATCATGCCCCTTTCTTCTTTGAGCCCCACTTATGGTTCCGCTGACTCTCATCGCGTCCCTCGACACCTTTTCTGTTAGTCCCACGACCTATATTGTCGCGTCCACCATTTTCACGGCCCGTGTTGCCACGCCCGCCATCTCTACGGCCCGTATTTCCACCCCCGCCATCTCCACGGCCCCTTCCAACTGTCCGCCTTTGACCTTCTGCGTTGGCCTTGCCGCCTTGTGGCACTTGTTGCGAYGGTAGTTGTAACGGTCTCCCAGACTGGGCTTGGGCTACCAGAGGCCTCGGTACCATCTCAGGATCGTTATTGGTCGGGTGCTCCTCACCTAGCCAGTACTTATGCCTCATGTCATCACAAAATTTCCCCCATGATAACCTCGCTCCTTTAACCACCCTATCAACTTCATCTCTCAGCCCTATATGGATAAACCCCATGACCTCTTCCAGCATTCGCACCCCGCTCCATTTGTAGTGGATATCTATTCAAACTTGTCAAGGAAATTGGAGACATGATAACCCCTGAAGAAGTCTATCCCAATCGCAGACCCTATACCCATCTGATCGTACGGCATCCACCGCCGATATAGTGTCTGTTCGGCCACCGAAGGCCCCCTTTGAGCAGTTTCGCCTCCCATTCCTAGCGGAGTGACTACGTCTTGTTGCGAGCACTGCCCTTCTCTGGTATCCTGACTTCCCTGGGCCCAWCCCCTCGCATCTCGCTGAGCCTTTGTTGGTTTGGGAGACTCAAGCTCCGCTTTTCTTCCCATCACACCCTTTTCCTTACTTCCGTGAGGGATACGGCCAGTTTTTCCCCAACAATCATATACCACTTCTGCCCAGTGCTCTGGCCACCATCCACTCCTTTGCCTCTCCCGACCTGCAACTAAGGATGCTTCCTCGTTAGTGAGCCCCCTCTTTGGATCCGGCGCAATAACAGGCAGTGCCATATTAGCATCCTGCTCCTTTTTTGTTTCAATGGATCCTCCACCTTTGTTTCTCGCCTGAACACCGGCTCGCCTCTTTGGGGCTCCTACCGAGAGGGGTGACTCTCGGTCATCCTTCTCTACCCCTCTTTCACCCTGACCATTTGGCTTACTTGGGGACTCTTCTAAAATCTTCCGCTTGCCTTTCCTGGCCTCTTCCAGCCGTGCTAACCTTTCTTCCAATACTCCCACTTGTCTCTGCAATCCACTCAACTCTGCCTGCGATGGTGCGCCCATAGCTGGTTGCACAGAGCATTCCCCACGTGAGCCTTCTATTCCATCTTCTGGGAATCTTAGCCTTAAGGAGCTCTCCAATTCATCCCACGCMCTCGCCTTCTGCTTGAGGGCATATACCTCATCGCTCAACTCTTCACAAACAAACAAGGGGAACATGTACCACATCGCCCTCTCGTCCCACGCCTTCATGAGGCAAAAATCCTGATCCTGAAATTCGCACAGAAAGCTAGACAAGTTCCTTCTTTGGAACAGTAGAGCGCGAAGATCTGGGGGCATTGTCTCCTGTAACTCTTCGTGCAACAGCACCTTCATGAGGCACGAATTCCTCCAAAGCAGGATCCTGGCGAAGCCGCTTTCTTCCGCCAGGATGCTGACATCAGCCTGATACACATAACAGACAATAAGTCATCAAAAGGTGATTCAAGTAAGCTCAGGTAAACAAAGGCAAACTGTGAACGCTGGCACCATGCTTTCTACCTTTCTACTCATGCGGTCAGAACTCACCCCTAGTTACCATGACGCCTACCTTTACAACTACGTCAATGGGTAGTGAGGCGAMCCYAACCAAGTCAAAAGAAACGCATTTAGTGGAGAACGAGGTATTCCCTATYGGCCCACTGCTGCCCATAGCCCATCCCAGTCTTCAATTTCGTCATTTGGATCATGTGACATGGCATATACRTCCACTATATTGACCRTATTCMTGAGCYAMAGACTAGAAGGTGAGAATTTTGGATCTAAGTACARACCATATATCAGTTCACATGTATACCRCCCATACTCCCAGTCTYGYACCCTCATASCGGCTTCGGTTGCCGCTTCTAMCCTTGCTGACCCACCAAAGCTCTTCTCTATGAGGAAGCTAGGCAGGGTGACTCGCAACRGAGCAGATGRAAGCGCGAACTCTTYAGCGCACTTGACCCCTACATGGGTTAGTACTCGTTCTTCTCCGTTAYGAGACGCTTCCCTCGCTCATTTAGCTGCTGCTGCCTCAACTACCCYCAGAGRCTTAGCAAGCAGGCTTCCATKCCCAAGTGYCAATTCTATCCCATGCTCGACCCAARAGGTGGCTGAGGCATACAAGGTCACCTTTACAATTGCGCATTCCTACTGATCGTCGAACCCAGACTCGATCCAGACAAAGACGTCCGTGCCCATTATCATGCCCCACCATGATGAAATATACTCTCCTTCTCTGACCCGCCTGGGTAAAGACACCTCGAGTCCTCCCTCTTTCTTAACCGGCCCGAGCATACGCGGGTCTTCCCGTACATAAGGCATCCTGAGTTGCCTTAGCTTTGTCTGGGTTCTGCCCATCACAGACAAACGTCCAGCATGCGCCTTCCGTTATTAGACTGACTATCCCTGCTCCTTTGGGAAGAGCGACCCAGCCATATAGACTCGATGGCCAGCCATGAGACAAGTGCTGGACTGGAGACATTCATATAAACTTTTACAGACTGATAAGATCCCTAATATAATCCCGATAGAGTACCSCACACRAAATACCCCTAAACAGGATATCTACTCAGCCACGTATCCTCACATACTTRGACATAACCTAGGATATCTACTTAAAATTATGCCTTCACATTTAGACATAACCTAGGCTGGCTAACATCAATTACTACCTACCACTCCAATAAAGGTGGGCAAATTAGTATAAGTGTTAACTCTTTCATTGCTACTCCAACTCCCTCTAGGATTAGATGTCCTTTACGTAAAGAAGGTATCACCCAGACTCSCTACGCCCCATAGCAGAACATCCGCTTAGAATCCAAACTCAAATATGTAAGTCGATGCAAGTAATATCCTTCAGCTTTCCTTAATCTRCTTCTCCTCAAGGTGCACARACGACTTCTAACCTGCCACATAGGAGAGGGTCTATACCTTCAACTCTTAATAGAGGAATATCATCTCACTCATCCTTAGCTCCATTCTGCTGCAACCGTATCACGATGCKTTCCTAACTACTCAGACGACTCTTATGGCAGTCAGGGAGGGTACACCATAGGGCTAATCCTCACAATAGTCATGTTGAACCTTAGCCACGCCAAATACGCAAGGCACCGCCCAGGCCTGCCAGCTATCGGATCAGAAAGGCTACCTATCCCAAATACCATCGTGCTGGTCAAAGCCGGTGAACCCAGAATCAAAACCCTTATCACCCTCAAGTCACTCATACCACATAGATCCAAATCAGGTCACGTCAATCAAAACCACATCGCTTAATCCTCACTTCACGCTTCTTATCCAGCACTGTCTGCTACCRACCATTCTGCGCAGACCAGTCAATAAAGCGGAAATKGTCACTTCGCCTGAATCATCAATCCACCTCGAATCTAGATCCGAGTTTTAAGGACCTCTCATCTCTACGACACTATCAATCGATAGTCAAGATGTCAACTGATCACTCATGTCGTCCTAACGAAACTTCTCATGTGCCTTTTTTTCTCACTTCCAATACCCGGATGTCGTTCCACTWGGGACAACGKTAGGCAACCGTTATCCCYGRCAACGGCGCCACCTGTCGKGCGCATCRGTCCGACATCGCACGGGGYAGYGCGGGACCCTCCCGGCCGCGTCACGCAKGARTTGGTTTAAATCCTTCGTCGCAATATACATGGAGCTCCCACAAGCCGYTCCGACYGAGTGCGCCAGCCATACCTCTCGCGAGCCCCTACGACAGGATAGGGCCTACGCGAGGCACGACTTACCTCCACCTTACGGGAGCTGTCACCTCCCTTCGGTGGGCGTATCCCCGTCGAGCTACCAGTCCACAGTACGAAAGCAAAT